ACCAAGGCCACCCAAGCTAAGCTCTGGGTGAAGCAACCTCTAGCGTAACAGCGTCAGAGCAGGCTCTGGGAGAAAGCCTGGTCTGGCTGCTTCAGATGGCATCAGAGAGGCCGGAGGGACAGAGCAGGCCCTCCACATCCATTTACACTGTCAAGGCCCCACACAAAGTGCAAACCAAAGAAAAGCCAATCACAGAACAGGTGACCCAGGGAAGCCTGCTGCTCACAGGAAGGGTTCCAGGTGCACGGCCGGGGTCTCCTGCAAACAGCCTGGGCGCTGGGCTTGTTGAACGAGGCAGGAGGAAGCAGGACAGCAGCTAACAGCCTTGTAGCCGTTAGGCAGACACCCAGGCATCAGGAATAGGATGGCGACTCAGGCCAGAGCCACAGCCAGGATGGCCACATCAGAGCCCAGAGTGTCAGCCATACCCTATAAAACTGAACTGCCTCTGGGGCCTGATGGTGTGAACACAGGGAGAGTAGGGCCACTGCTGTCTGGGATGCCTCCTTCTCTACAGGCACTCAGGCATAAAGCTGCTTAAAGACCCTGGTGAAAGGAGACGTGTAGAGGCGGGAACCCAGGGAAACCCAGGCCATCCTGCCCAGAAGTGATGCCATGAGTTACCTGCACAAGTGTGAAGAGGTGATCTCACATGTACAGTGCGAGGATTGGGCCCTACCTCAGGGTCCAACCTCACGCACACAGTGCATTTTGGTTGGTGTCAGGCTGAAAGGTGTCCCTTTCCTGACCACAGTAACTTGTGCTTTTTCTTAACTCTGGCTCTTCATCTTTGGACCTATATCTGACCCTTTACTTCAGAATCTAGATCTTTCTGTGTCCACAAGCAAGTTGTGTTTTTTACATGATTCTCACTTGGTAGATGATTCAGTAGGTACCCTTGGGAAATCTAGACACAGTCCCATTACCCATTAAGGCTCCTATTAGTGTTTGTCTTTAAAGGTCCTTTTTTTATTTTATTTTTTTGAGATAAGATCTCACCCTTTTTCTTGGCTAGAGTGCTGTGGCATCATCATAGCTCACAGCAACCTTAAACTCCTGGGCTCCAGCGAGCCTTCTGCCTCAGCCTCCTCAGTAGCTAGAACTATAGGTGTACACTGCCACACATGGCTAATTTTTTTATGTTTTTGTAGAGATGGGGGTCTCACTACATTGCCCAAGCTGGTCTCAAACACCTGACCTCAAGAGATCCTCCTACTGGGCTTCTTGAAATACTGGGGTTATAGGCATGAGCCACTGCACCAGCCTTGCATGCTACTTTTAATATAAAACGATTTTACCCCATGTTTAAAAATTAATACCTGTGATGCTCCAGTTTTCTCATGATGTGCCGGGCTCTAGAAGAGTCTGCTGGTGACAGATGCAGTCTCTGGGACAGGACCACCCCAGGAGTCCAGGCCCCCTTAGCAATACTGAACTATCTGCTTCTAACATAAACCAGTTATCTCATAAATGCAATTTATTTCCTCTGCTTGCTGAGAGGTCCTTTGCCCAGTGCCTCACAAGGTTAGTAATTCAATATATATTTTGAATAATGAGTATTTTCATGTTTTAATACATCAAGATTATGAGACTTGTCCTATATATGACTAGTGTAATATCAGTATCAAAAACAGCACCTTTTATAAAGTTATTAAATAGGGGGTTAACATGAATATTCTCACTTTTCTGGGGGCAAAGAGTTTATAATTTATAGCCAGCCCCTTAGCTTTGTCAGCCCTCATGAGAAGGATCTTGTAGGACAATATTAGAGATTGGATGCTGGTGATCCATTCTGTACATCACTGGGGGCTTTTTTTCGCTAGTGATTTATTTTTAGCTTCCCTTGGATTGAGCCCAAACAAAGCCTTAAAGAGGCAGCAGCAACAACTTGGGTCATTATGAATGGTGAGTTAGGACTCAGGTGACCAAACTTACTACCCGTGCTGATATGCAAGGCTGCTTGGTGAGATTCACCTTGAGCTCAGATTACCAATATGGGCTCCATGCCCCAGAAATTTATTTAAAGGTATTCCTCAAACAGAAACAGAAACACACCTGACTGTTAACCCTGTTACTTAGTGAACAGCCAAAAACCTTCTGGCCTACAAGCCAGCACATGGCATCCAAGCTGCCCATTCTAACTTCCCTCCTCGTGACCCCCGGACCAGGAGCTCACTGTGGGAGAAAGGCCACAGCCACTGCCACTCAGGAGCTGCAGGCAGACAGCACACATGCTCCACCAACACCTTCAGGGACAGATCAGGGATGGAGGTCCCTCCTAGCCTCCCTCCCTCACACCTGAAAACAGATGAGCTTTCTACAGGAGTGTGGACGCTCGACGCCTGACACTGTAAGTGTCCTGTGCTGGCTTACAAGGCCTGATCTGAAGCTCCCTACACAGAACTCAGCTTGCCTCTTGTAAAGGGGAGAAATGGCCTACAGAGACAGAATGGCCAGACCGAGCACTGAGGGCAATTTCCTCTCCAAAGGAAAGGCCTATCTTCTCCTGTCCCCAGCCCCAGGCTGTGTGTGCCCTTATGGCCATGGCAGACTGACTATGGCAAAGTGACCCAGCCCGGAACTATAAAATGCCTGACACCCTCTTACCAGCTCCTTTCTGGCTTAGGGCATTGTCTCTTCAAAGATCTTTACTTGTGCCCCAATTAATGTGATGGGACAGTGGCCTCTGTCCAGCAGCCTGGAGTGACACAGCCAAAACATGTCCCTTAAGCACAGCCCAAAGCATTGATTCTCCAGTCCTAACCTGTTAGACTATTATTTATGTTTCTAAATTCAAAGGAAGCTTAAAAAAATATCACCAAATCATCAGCATCCAATTACTAATGTGTTTTCTTTGTGAGAATCTTTCACAGCAGGGAATAGTGTGGGTAAGGGGCTGATTGTAAATTATAAACTCCTTGTTTACCCTAGAGCAAGGAAGTACACTGACAACACATCGGTAAATCCATTTTGTCAGGAATTTCACGTCTGCCCACTCTTAATCATTAAAGAGTACACGTATAAAAGCAGTCTTTAAAGAAAGAAGCTGCTGTGTGCAACAGTGATCACTGGAAGACCCACTTCAGGCAGCTCGCAGGCATCTGCTCTCACTAATCCTTCCACTACTTAGAAAGGATAAAGTTATTTTAATGTTCAATCTCTAAGGTTGTATCATTCTCAGTAACTATACTACAAAACTGCACAGTGGTAACTTCCACTTTATAAAGGGAACAAAACTTACAGATTATAATTAGAAGAATGTGCTCTCTTGGAAAGCAGTTGGCAAAATGTTTTTACTTTCCAGACAGGCATTCGCCTTTCCTTGAGCATGTGTGAAGTTAGACCCATGTATTACATTATTAATATATAATCCACAATGCCATGTTATTAAAAAAGAAATGTACCTAGAAATCAGACCAAAATATAAGAATGGTGAGTAAACCATAATACCCTCACTGGAAAAACTTCATGTGTTCCAAATTTCTTTTAATACTATACACTTCTTAAGTTATAAAATTATGTGGGAAGAGCACACCTTGGCCAACTGCCCTGTAGCACAGAGAAAGAGACAGTGACTCTTGTAGCTCAGTGTCCGGGGCATGGACCCCGGAAGGCAGGCCTAGGAAGCTGCCCCAGGAGACAGTGTCCTCCCATGTGTACCAGGGTAGGCAGCTGGCAACACCTGTGCCCTCATGGTGTGACAGGAGGACCCCCACTGAATAGCAACCCTGATGCGTGGTGGCACCACATGGGATAGCAGGGTGGCCTTCCCCAGTCCAGGTGAAGGTGGAGTCTCCCCTGATCCAACCGTTCCAATCCCGCATACATTTGCGGCCCTTGAACAACATCCCTTGAGTTTCTGTTCACACGTCCCCTATAGTAATTTTGAAAACTTAGGTACCTCTTCGCCCATTAAACTATTACCAAGAATTTTCATCATAAATAAATTAATAATTATTATTATAGAACAGTTGCAAGAGATTAGGCAATTTCAGGTAGAATCTAAGTACTGGTATTTTAATAAAACTCTTGCACCATTCTTAAAATGTATCCATGAGGATAAAGGCGCCCAGAGTGATGGGATTTCCACCATTATCCTTTTTAAAATTACTTGAACAAACTGCTTTGTAAGAGTTAACTGTTTTGTATCATATCTTATTCCCCATTTTCGTATAAATGCTACCTGTTCACTACTACATCAGAATCACACAGTATACATTTATGTCTAATTTTATAATTCAGCATCCTATCTGACTTCTCTCCCATAAGAACAGGTATAAACATCCACATTTAACTTCTTTCTTGTGACTGTTGAAACTTTTTATTACAGATTAGTTATTAGTAAAGTATCAGCAATGGTGGCACAAAAATGGTCAAACAACATAACAGTATTTATTCAGATCCACATCAAACACAGTGTTTGAAACTGTATTGGCAATGAAACTGGAAATACTATGATTGAGGGAGGCATTTGCCAGTGTTTGCCGGCACCTTTTTTGAGAGACATGGCCGGTGACACTGGCTCAAGGCCCCCACACAGGCAGAGCTGTCACAAGAAGCCTGTGTGTGAGAACAGATGGTCTAGAAGTTGATTCCCTTAAATTAAAAATCCACGCATAGAGCTTTATTCCATAATCTAAGCTTAAACTGTTTTCACTTAAAAAGGCCAATTTCTAACAATATCTGTCTTCACCTCAACAGGACAGTTTGCTAGTGGACAACAGAATGGCCGACTCAGAAGGCTGCCCTCCCAGCAGCTCCAACCTGGGGCCGCTGGCGACTCTGCAGCTGTCCTTCCTCACGAGCATTCCACTAAGGATTGAGCTATGCAGCCCTGGCTCTCCTAAAGACCAAGGAGACCCAGTTAGCCTCAGCTCGCTCCAGGTGAGACAGCTGCGGCTATCCTAGGGTGTCACCTGGGACCCGTCACATCCAATTTCAATTCTCCTATTACTTGCAAACAGAAGCACCGTGACACTCCCCAGAAGCCCGCCTCTCACCTGCCATTGAGCACACTCCGTTTCTCCAGCCCACTGGGCAGGACCACAGTGACATCCACAGTGCTGTCCCTCAGCGCCTCCTTCATGTGGACCAGGTTCTGCTGTGGGCTGAGGGCCACGCCTCGGGGAGGCTTCTGCTCACTGTCTGTGTTTGCGGCGGGCTTTCCAGGAGGTGGGGGAGCACGGGCCTTCATCCTCTTCCTTGAAAAACAACAACAGAGAGCACTAATGAAGTGGCAGTTTCCACCCTTTCCTTAGAATGATTCATTCTTACCCGTATTATGCCCCTTTTCAGAAATACTTTCTGAGCAGTGTTGCCTCTTGTAGTCAGTGTTTTCAGCACTCTCCAAGGCTGACAGATACAATGTCCTCCCAAAGCAACTAAGCACTGATCATGGTAAGAACAGAGGAAGTGTTTCTGAAAGGCAGCACTGCTGGGAAGAAACTCCCTAACAACCTGTGTGGCATCTGAGAGCAGCAAAGCTTATTTTCCACAGGTCCCCAACCCAGGGAAGGTGGGTGTAGCACAGTGTGTGTGGCCCAGCCAGGTAGATGACACATCACAGCAAATTAGGTGGAGTCCACGACGGTCTGCGCGCTCCAATCTAATCCTGCCCTAGCTCTGGATCCAGGACCAGCTCTGAGGATCTGGAGTCCCTGCACCCGTGATCGTGAGGATGTGTTATGTTAAATTAGCCAGAGTCCATGCGATCAGCACCCATCAAGGCAGCCACTGTGGACAGATGTGGCCGTCTGGCAGGGAAAGGACACAAGAGACAATTCAGGGCCACACACGACCCTTCTCACCCTGGTTTCCGCTTTATTTCAGACCATGCTTTGAATATTCAGTCACCTTGTGGGAGATTTCTAACTACCTGATGCTGAGTCACCTACTCTGATGAATATTTTTGTGTTCTTATTTTCTCCTGATTAGTCCAGGAAGGCAAAGGATTTTATTTTATATAGATATTTTATTTTAAATATAGAATATAGCATATGTAATATAGCATATAGTAATGTGTATGTATACTGTTTACGCATGTGTGTATATACAGGGATATATGGACTTATTTACATATAAGGACATGGTTTTATATGGGCCCTGGGTATTTTATTATAATGATAGCATTACTCAGCTAGGATCTAGGCTAATTATAAATTAGCAAGTTTGCTTCAATAAGCACCCAAAATATTTTACAACTGAGAAAACTGAGTCTCAGACACCTGACGGTCACCCAAAGGCTCACAAGTATTTGGTGTCTGGGCAGAGATGGAAACCACATCTGCCGGCTCCAAAGAGCTTGCTCCTGCCCACCCCTCCCCCAGCCACACTCTACTCAGCAGATCCAAAAGAGGCGACCTGAGCCCTCAACCCGACCCACGCTCTCTCTGCCTCAGAGCCTTCTTGGAGGCACTTTGGCATGAGGTACTGAAGACATGGGAATTCTATTTCTAGAAATCTATCCTAAATTAATAATCCCACAAGACTACATTTTGGGAGGTTCAAAGATGCTCATCACAACATAATTTCTCATGGAAAACAAACAAAATAGTAAATACAGCAATAAAAGATAATGTCAATAAATTACAATACAGTGTTATATTTGCACTAATTTAATATGCCTTAAAAGTATATAATTTTATGTGCAAAAATCCACAACATAGACTTTAAAAAACAAACTTCAAAATATTGTTTAAGAAAATTGCATTTTAAAAAAGCAGTCTATATAATAACTATACATCACAAAACAGTCTAGACAGAGACAGGAAGGAACTGGCAACAATGACCTCAGTGTGATGTGATACAGGTTTTGCTATTTTAATTTTCTAATTTTCTATAATAACACCCGTATTTGTATTACTTATAAAAGGAAAGAGGTAATTTAGAAAATACAGGAAAAGAACAACAGACGTCGTTCTTCCTAATGTCTGCGTCACACTGGTTAATACAAGACTTCAGAGTAACATTCTCATTCTCTGTCCTGGTAGGTAGGTATAAATTCTCTTTCTTGTTAAAAGCCCTACATTTAAATTCCATTTATAAATTTATTCTATATTCTTATCCATTGTATACTTCTTTATTTTCAATATATACAAAAATAATATTAATAGTCAACATACTATGGCACTATTTTAAGGACTATTTTTTAATCCCCTTGTTCCCCACTATGCCCCTCTGAGGGGCACTGCTGTTGTCCCATGTTATAGGTAAGGAATGTGGGCATACCTCCCAGGGCTACAGACTAGCAAAGCTAACATGGAACTTGGGACAACTGGGTCCCAGAGCCTGAAAAAAATTTTAAAAACCATATTATTCAGCATCTATTAGGAAAGAGGAATGTCACCCCATTTCTGAGATGGAAAAATCAAGACAGAGAATTATGGAGTTTTTTAATTAGCCAACCTTTGGTCTAGGGCTAGAAGCTTAGTCTCTGAGCAGCCCATGTGCCACTAGCATTACTCCCCAAAGGTGTTTTCAGCATAAAGCAAAATGTGTTTTACAGTTTTTAGAAAAACAACACCGTGCTGGCTTGAACTCCTTCAGAACAGAGCCATCTTCTTGGTATCATGTCATCCACCCTTCTCTCCCCACACCACTGTCACCACCCTCTTCACTGTGGCATACACAAATGCAAACACAGCTCTCTTCCTGCAAGCCAGCACCCTCTCCACTAATTCTACCACCCACTTAGCCTCCTTCCTCCACATACCACCGAGAGCCACCTAGGAGGGGGCTCATCTGTTCACGTGCCTGGCAGAGCCCACTGCAGTGGCCTCGGCTGCAACCCAGCCAACTGAGGGCTCCAGAAAGTTTGTCTCCCCAATACAGTCCAGCGTGCAGAGGTGAGGATGCATACGTGCACATTTAACACAGCCAACATTTAAAATATTGGAATCTGTCACACTAACAAAAGGGGGGAAGCGATTTGATAAGGCCCTGAACACTTTCACAATAAAAAATAGCTGTGTACTTTCATCTGGATCCACTGGCTCGACATCACATATCTACCCTCTGTAGGGCTGCAGACTACCAAAGCCTCCACTCACCCTTGGTTCAGAAGGGCTGTTCAATCTCCTGCACCCTCCAGCTGCTGATGACAGTTGACTGTTCCTGGAGGACCCTCCCCACCCCCACCAGCCTATGCCTCATGGTGCCGTCTGCCTTACATGCTTAGTGCGTGACGACCAGCACAGAACAGTGTGTTCTGAAAACCCATCTCAGGGGCCTCCATGCTGAGCACACTGACGCTAAGATCAGTACTACCAACACTGGCCGCACTGTGGAGGATGCCTGTGGGAAGCTTAAAAAATGCCCATGTCCTATCACAGACCAGGTAAAACCAAATATCTGAAAGCCGAGTTACTGTAATAGATTGCAACATTCCATTAAAACAAAGGCCCCGTTTTAGACATTAAAATGGTCAATAGGCTCAGCGCCTATAGCTCAACCGACTAAGGCGCCAGCCACGTACACCTAAGGTGGCGGGTTCGAATCCCCAGCCCGGACCCGCCAAACAACAATGACGGCTGCAACCAAAAAAATAGCCGGGTGTTGTGGCAGGTGCCTGTAGTCCCAGCTACTTGGGAGGCTGAGGCAGGAGACTCGCTTGAGCCCAAGAGTTGGAGGTTGCGGTGAGCTGTAATGCCATGGCACTCTACCCAGGGGGACAGCTTGAGGCTCTGTCTCAAAAAAAAAAAAAAAAAAAAAAAACCACTTTAAAATGGTCAATAATTGTAGGTGCAATTTTGTATCATTTGATGAAAGCAATTTAAGTCTATATTTAATATATGTTGATAAATTTATGAGTTTGTGGGGTTTTTTTTTAAGGACAGAGTCTCACTTTGTTGCCCTCGGTAGAGTGCTGTGGTGTCAGGTCACAGCAACCTCCAGCTCTTGGGCTTCGGTGATTCTCTTGCCTCATCCTGCTGAGTAGCTGGGACAACAAGCGCTCACCACAAAGCCCAGCTACTTTTCTGTTGTAGTTTGGATGGGCTGGGTTCAAACCCTCCACCCTTGATATATGGGGCCAGCGCCTACTCACTGAGCCACAGGCGCCACCCTGAGTTTGTGTTTTTTAATCCCCTTATTCTCCACTACACCACTCTGAGGGGCACTGCTGTTGTCCCATGTTATAGGTAAGGAATGTGGGCACACCTCCCAGGGCTATAGACTGGCAAAGCTAACACAGAACTCAGGACAAGTGGGTCCCAGAACCTGAAAAAAAAATTAAAAACCATATTATTCAGCGTCTATTAGAAAGGAGAGATGTCGCCCCATTTCTGAGATGGAAAAATCAAGACAGAGGAATAAGTTACGGCATTCTTTAATTAGCCACCATCTGACATGGTGGATTCAAGGCCCTGCTGGGCAGCTCCGTGCCTGTCTGTGAGCACAGGGACAGTAGGTATCTAGATGGTAGTGAGTTCATGCCCTGCTGGGTGGTGCTGTGCCTGTCTGTGAGTGCAGGGACACCAGGTTGAGCAAACTGCCCTGTATCATGCCCTAGACACAGGGCACACACGCCCACCTCACATTCCTTACACAGCAAGGTAGGCACCACACTTCCTCAGCCACCATTCAGCATCTCTGAAAGGCAGCGGTGTGTACTCTCAGGACGCAGCACAGTGGAGTCCATGGTGGAAGGGCTGGTCCTGTGCAGCACAGCAAGGTCTCCAAGCAGGGCAGGCCCCGTACACAGCAGTGGTCCCCTGGGTCCTGTGCAGCACAGCAAGGTCTCTGAGCAGGGCAGGCCCCGTACACAGCAGTGGTC